TTAAAACTCTAGAATGAAATCAATTGTTAAGAGCGCATGTTTGTTGTAATCAATAGAAATTAAAAACATTAGGATCACGATTTCCCATGCAATTATCACTTTAAACTCTAGTTTCACAATATGACAACATAATTCAATTGTTGACGAATCAATGTTCCTAAGTCTCTCTCGAGATGTATCAAAATTATATCTACATACCACCAGCCTATATTTCTATGACAAGTGCATATGTAAAAATGCATGTAATTTTATGAACACTTAAAGATACACGTAAGGTATAGCGGTATATTTCTATCCCCTATCGGACCCTAAGATGATTTATATTATGTTGGATCTATTCCAATTCTCTCGAATGCAAGAATAAATCACCCAAACTCATATAATTACGGGCCCTTAATTGCGGAAACAATAAATGCATATAAATCATTCAAAACAAAAGAAATATGCTTTAATGTCAAATTACAAAACTAGAAAATTAAAGATCCAACTACATGGTGCCTTGATCTCCTAGCATAACAAAAATCTAGCCTAGCATAATGGGAAATAAAGAAAAACAATAATTAAAACCAAGGAAGAACATCACCCAATTGATTCTTGAAGTGAAATCTTGAATCTTGAAGTGGATTGCCTTGTTTTTGCCTTGTTCTTCCTCTCCAAATCCTCCAAAATTGTGTATATTCCCCCCTCTTTATGTTTCAGGGTCATCTGGTATTTATTGGAGGCGGAATTAGGTCAAGGAAGTCGCCCAAAACCTTACTAAATCGTGTTTGAGTCAAATAAGGAAACCTGAGATTTCGCCACATTTTTTTACCATGCTACCGCATGGAAGTTTCAGCCCAGATTTTTCCTTGTACTGCCTTGTGCGACCGCAAGGAATTATAACCATGCGGCTACATGGTTATAGAAATTTTTTCGTCGGATAGCTTTCAGTATTTTGGTCATAACTTTCTCTCCCGATCTCCGATTGAAGTGATTCAAAGTGCATTGGGAAGAAAACTCAAAGATATACACTTTTGATAGAAGTAGGCTTCCTTAAATTCTGATGTTTACTATGCCAAAAATGGATCTCAAGTAGAGACTAAAAATCACGAGCATAATTTTTTCGCCCGAAAGTTGATACTTGATAATACTTCGACCATATTTCACCTCTTGAATCCTTTTCTCATCCGATTGACCTCTAACACTCTTGAATCTTCATTCCATTTCCCCTCTCATCTATGGATTATTTGCACCTTGGTCCCCGAACTATCACTTTGCTCCATTTTAGTCTTTTTTCGACTCTTTTCTTCTGAATTTCACAATGTTCATCGGTGTTCCCTACAATTCACAAATATAACGAGATTAAGTCACAATTCAATCATTTTGCTCATTATTAAGTCATGTTTGTGACCTAAATAAGTGTGAAAAAACACACTTATCAGTCTACCACCAGGAATTTCATAAAGTGGAGTTATTTGTCCTCGTAGGACGATACTATCACCAGTGAATCCGTATAGTGGGTAGGTCATGGGTACCAAGCCATGCTCAATTTTCATTTTATCAAAAGTTGAGCCAAACAGTATGTTCATTAAACTTTTTATTTTCAAAAAGCATGCGCTTCAATAGCTCTTACCATCAATGCATCACAATGAGGGTAATGCACACCTCGTGCATCATCCTGGAAGAAAATGATTGGTGCCATCCTATTCTGTTCTTGTGATCAGTCGACAAGGTAGCTAGTCATTGGAAGATCATTTGCTTCCCTTGCATAGTTCATTTGTACATTTCGAGTATTACCTTCGATGTGAGGGCCTCCTATGATTGTCTGTTTCACAGATTGGTTCACCTTCAGCTGCCAGAGCCTGAGTCCTCTACCTGGACCTTCCTCGAGCTCTATTTTATGCTTCCCTTCTCCAAGGCGTATGGTCCATTTGTCTTCTCGCATCCCTGGTATATGAGGTGGACCACAGAGAAGATTCATGATACCATTTCTCCCTAGAGGAGCGAGAGTTACTTCTCTAAGAGGATCGATGAGCATCTCTGCATTCTCTGGTGTCGTAGCCATAGAAACGATGGAAGGTACACTACTTTGCTCTTTCCAAGGACTGGTTTGCCTATTTTTTCTTGCTTCAGTTTCTGTGTGTCGTCCCCTCGGACAGCCCCGCTTTGGCATTTGCATTTTCATACGCTAGTACTAGTAGTGCATTTAGTGTAGGGGAGGCCAAAGCTTGCCTGGACGTGGGAGCTACTGCATGTCCTGCTTGGGTCCATTGTTGGGTAACGAGGTGCACAGCCGGTCCTCGACCTACCTACCTCCAAGGAGGTGGGAGTCCCTAGGCTGCATGATTTCGATGGTCGATCATCTCCTCATTCACGATCTCCACTCTCATAATCTCTACCAGCTCGTCATAAGTGGTCAGATTTCTGTTCCACACGTCTCACCAAAACAAAATGTTCATATTGAGGCCTTCTTTCAAGGATGAAAGGGCCTCTCTGTCTGTAACTTGCTCACAATAGGTTATTTCCTCGGTGAATCTGGCGAGCCAGTTTTTGAGTGTCTCCCCAGGGACCTGTCTCATATCTTGCAAGAGCCGTACCGGGGCCTCTCCTTCCCTTCGTTAGAGATATTGGTTCAAAAATGTCTTTTTCAGGTCAGGCTAACTTCTAATGCTCAGAGGTAGTAGTCGACTGTACCACACTTCAGCTTCTCTGACAAGAGTCAAATGAAAAGCCCTGCACTTCAATGCTAGTGAGGCTCTTCTCAGACTCATCTACGTCGTGTACTTGGTGAGGTGCTTTTCTGGATCTCCTTTTCCCTCATACTTTAGAATTTTATGAGAAATGAAGTTTACAAGCATTGAGAAGCTTCAGATTTCTCTAGAAAATGGAAGGTTGTCGTTGTCATCGTCTATCTCATAGGATCGACATGGTCCTTCAGAGTCGTCCCCATCTGGCGTATTTTGGGGAAGTGGAGGTGCTCCTCCTTCCAAGCCTATTTCTAAGCAGAGGAAGCGCTTCTTGCTCTTGTTAAGCCGGCCTTGCACAGAGCGAAGTCTGGTGGGAAGTTTTCCCCCAGCTGGGGTTCGACTTCCTGGGTGCCTTGTGCATAAAACGTTATGTTTATCCCTACTTTCCTCTCCATAGGGGGCTTTCTTTGATGACTTGAATGGCCTTGGCTATAAAACACAGGGAGTCTCTGAGCTGGGTGAGACCTCTGCGGTATTTGGAAGCCCTGCTGACTTTGAGCCTGCATGAAAAATTCACGCATAGCCATATTTTTTGCTGCGATATCCCCCATTATGGTATCTATTTGGGCCATTCTTGCAGCTAGTATTGCTATGACCCCACCACCTCAACGACGCCGATGGTGGGGTCTGCGGTGGGTGACATTTGTCCTGAGCACCTCTTCTTCAGAGACGTCCCTTAGTCTTTCAGGATTTGCATCCTCGTTGCCAGAACTCATTTTGTTGCTCCTCTTTCAAAGGTGTTCAAGCTTGGTTTGCTAATTTTGACGGGTTCCTTTTCAAGAATGTCCCTTTTTCAAGGGAAGTCGCTAATTTTTCAATGGTTAACAGGGAACTCTAGAACGGAATTTTCACAGATGACGCCAATCTGTTGACCCCGCGAATTGGACCCTCCACGTTGCCAACCAAGAACCACTCCACATGTTTTTCCCTGCGCATAAGAGCAAACAGTTAGACATATACGGTTGATACTAGCGAGAGTGGTAGCGGTCACACACACTCCGACGGTCAAATTAGTTGACGGTGATAGAGGCAATGTCGGAATTGTGCAAGAGAGTGGGGAGGAGAGAATATATATTACTTGGTTGTGGAGTGCCCAGAATTAGAAAAGATTACCCTTGTCTCTTGTCAAACCTTTGGTATTTATAGGCAAATGGCACCGCTGGATGTGGGACACGTGTATGCATCTGACGACGTAAGGCGTCTGCTCGTAGACGTCAATCAGCCGCATCTTAGAAGATGCAGGTAACTAATTCTTCTGATATGTGAGTTAACATAGGGTTGAAATGTCGCATCAATCAATCTATAAAGATAAGGGGATCCTGACACAGATATATCTCTGAAACTGGCGTTGGAGGGGCCTCTGCACTCCTCTACCGTAAGGTGCCTCGTTTCCTCACACTTCGGTACCAGAAGAAGCCTCGGATAATATCCCTTTGGTGGTCCTCTGCTTTCTTGGTGCCTCATCTCCTCACACTTCAGTACCAGAAGATGCCTCGAATAATATCCCTTTGGTGGTCTATACTTGAGATTCGGGTGAGGCATATTGTCGCTTCAGTGACACCTCGACCTAATACATGGCACCTCGCCAAAGAGTGAACCTGACGCGCCAAGGTGGTGAGTGGGGCGTAACAAAAAAAGGTATTTTTTATGAAAATTATTTTATTTCTAAGTATTAACCTAATGAAAATAATAATAATAATAATAATGATAATAAATTATCCTCTCCTGTTTCTCCCCTATTTAGGAAACATATAATAGTCTAATTGGGAATGAGATTATAGGAGATTTAGATTCATAAATAGCCCTTGTTTGAGCCACATTATTAAAATGAAAATGTATTTTTGAATAATATATTGATGAAAAAAATGTGTTGTTAAAAAATAAGGAAATATTTTGGATTTGTGTGTAATACTATTTTATTAAAGAATGTGTGGTTGAAATAATGTTAAATCACTGTTGAAAAATATATTTTTTTCAAATAATGTGATTTAAATAAGGCCTATAGTCTATCATTTTAAATATTGAACTTCCTATTTTCAAAATAGGATAAACTTTTGGTATTTGTCTTTGATTATATATTCTTTTTTTCTTTCGCACTATGGATTTTTGGCGGGCCTATGTCCGTCTTTGGTTTGTGCTTTCGTTATTCAAAAAGAAAAGTTATATTGAGGACTTAATTGCAATAAAATTGCGAAGTTTCAGGATTTAATTTGCTATATTTTGTAAATGACGGTCAAAGATGCAATTCTCCTTAAATATGGAGTATAATCGCATCGCTTTTCCTGGAGCAGAAGCAATTCCTCGTGGTGCTTTGGTCTCTGCCAACCGCGACGGATCACTCCACAGCCCAAAGATTCTCTGCCACATTACGAATTTCCTATCCAATTACAAATTTCGAATCATATATATCAGGTAAATACTTTAATCATCCAATTGTATTGTACGAAAATTAGGGATCAGTATTCCAACTAGATCCTATCTTCTTTCAAAACAAGTTCTAAATGTAGTTTCTTTGGATTTTTTTTTTCCATTTTTTGTAGGTTAGTGTATATGTTGTACTAGTTGCTTGGAATTCGGTTTAAATGGAAATGGAGGAAGTAAGTTCGTCGTCCGCAAATGCAGCTGAAATTCCTTCAGTTCCGGTCCAGCGGGGCCGCTCCAAAGGCAAGTTTTTTGTTCTTTCTTGAACCGTTTAGTCCTCAAAATTGCGAGAAATTATTTGCGTCCGTATTATGGAAATATGCTATTTGAACTTCACGTGTTAGTCAAATTGGAATCGAAACAATTTGCATTATAAGTAGCGGAATAGGAAGTGTCCTCGAAATTTGCAAAAAAAAAAAAAAAAAAAAAAAAAAAAAAAAAAAAAAAAAAAACGTTAATATTAACATATGCAGTTTATATCAATGTGCAATTTGAATTTGAATTTTATGTGTTAGGCAAATTGGAATTGAGAAAATTGGCATTATAAGTAATTTGCAAAATTAATTTTGATGTATATTAACATCTGCAGTATAGATCAATTTGCAATTTGAATTTTATGTTTAGGTAAATTGGGTTGAAATGACATACAAAGCAGGTGCAAACTAAATTACGATTTAATAGATTATCATATGATTTTTTTCATTTTTATTTGACAGCTATGTACCAGTTTACTCAACAAAATCTCCCAGCTTGTAAACCTGTCCTAACACCAACATGGGTAATCACAACCATGGTGATTCATTTATATCCATACGAGTTATGGGTAGTTATGCTTTTCAACTTTTATAAATGTTCGTTGTCTGTGATTGCCTCCTCCAGGTCGTTACAATATGTTTTGCTGTTGGTACAATTTTTATTCCGATTGGGCTATTTTCTCTTCAAGTTTCACAGAGTGTAAAGTTATTGCTTCCCTTACTTTTCTTTAATGCTGCAACGTGATTCAACTATATTTTAGGTTCTGTTTCAAATATGCATTGCCAATTTTTGCACTAAAGATAGGTGGACATTCTATATGTAGGCTCTGGAAATTGTGGACAGATACGATGTTGAATGTGTTCCACCAAGTTTCAGGAGCAATAAGTTGGAGTATATAAAGGATAGTTCGATTCCAAAAAATTGTTCTAGGTACCTACAGGTGGTATTCTGTTGGCATTTCTTTCTTAGCAAATTATAGACTGCATGATGCATGATAACATTTTTTACATGTTTTTGGTTCACAATTTCTGCTGAACATGAAATTTGCTATGCGTTTTTTTCCTAAAAATTTCTCTTAGCCTCGGATGAGACTAAACCAAAAGCCTTTGGCGTTAATAAATTCATTCATTTCTAACATATTACGCTCAATTCATTCAAGAGTGAATATTTGGGAGGAACAAAGCTTAAACATTTTGAGAGATTTTACAGACTTGGCTTTTGTAAAGATATAGGTAATTATGTACTGTAGCTACTCAATGTAGTTTTAGGATAACTTCTAAATTTAAGACCTGGAGGAGAGTTTCACAATTTCTTCTCCATCTTGTATGTGCTAAAGTATATCTCTAATTTATTCTACTGTTGGATCTCTAGTTCGAAGAGTACAGTAGAATATGGTTCTGGCATTAGCTGTCATTCTCCAAAGACCCCTTGTTTACCCTTTTTTGGGGACAGATTGTATTATTATTAGCATGGTTCTTTGAGAATTTTTCTTCCTTATTTTCATTGAAAGTAGTCAATTTTAGTTTTTGATGGCTCCAAAACTAGAACAGAATACCTTTCAAGAAAAAAACACCAGAACAAAATAATATGGTCATCATAACTTTGAATTAATCTGTACCTCTTATGCTTGGACTCTTCAAAATGGTCAGAGTACACGTGTCGGACACAACACGATATAAGTATAGGTATGGGATATGTATCGGATCCTCCAAATTTTAATTGGACACTTTGCAGTTTTTGCTTCTTATTTCTTTTTCTCCTGGCCTTCC